CCCGCCCCCAGCTGGCCGCCCCCGCCCTGTCCCCGTTGCCCAGTCCCGCCTTCAGCCCTCGGGGCTGCGCCTCGGCCCCTGGGTCCTCCCCGGCTGCGCCCCAGGCCTGGGCGGGCGCGGCGAGCGTGCGCCTTCGGTGCGGCGGGCCTTGCGCTGGAGTCGGGCGCCGGCCAGATGCTGAACTGGGCGGCTGCGGCCGGAAGCTGGGCGGGGCTGGAAGTCCTCGACGGCTGTGCTGAGCGGCCCAGACGGACCCCTTTTCCACCCAGGAGGCATCACCAGCCGCGCGATTGCTCCAGCCCAAATGGGGGAGGGCGGGCCGCTGGTTTCCCACGTTTCTTTCCCCCACCTCACTCCTCCCAGCCGCCGCACCGTCAGCTCCCCTCCCCCTTGCTGCGAACCACGGGCCTCTTCCAAGAAGATTGTGGTTCCTGGGCCTCCCCTGCCGTCCTTTCGGTGTCTTCGACGTCCTTATAGACGATGTTTTCAACTCCCTGGTCTCGGGGCTGCGGGATGCACAGCTTTGTCCTGGGGCCTGTAGGTCCTCCATCACACGCAGACCTTCCCAGCAACACACACCCAATCAGCTCCAAAATGCAATCCGGAGATTTCAATCGGTTCACTATCCATCCAATAAAAACTGAAAGACAGCCTGTTGTATGCTATCCGTCCATCCGCCCATCCATTCTACGTCTCCCTCCACCAAGCACCTATGAGATGCCAGACACTAGGGTCCCCGCTGGGCCTCCGCCGAGTGACATTCTCACACAAGGAATGGCCGGTGTTCTCATGTGCTGCCAGGCACCGATCTACTCCATTCACACACAATTTGCTCACTTGGTTGTCACAACATTCAGACAAGAAGGCTTCCCTGAACCACTCCTGGTGAGTGACAGAAGAGGTTAGGCAAGTAGCAGACACTGTCCCCTTCACCAGTATGTGCAGAGCAAACCAATACCCCCCCGCAGCGGCGGGGCAGCGGGCACTGCCGAGTGGAGGAGGCTTTTCTATGACTGGGTCACAGAAGACCTCTGTCAGGAAATGATACCTGAGTGGACCCGAAATGTTGCAGAGAAGTGAAACCAGGACCCTGTGGGGAGGGGTGCAGAGGCCCCAGGGTGCCAGGCTGTGGCTCCGCCCTGTTCTGGGCCCGGTCGTCATATGACGCTTCTTCTGAAAGGCTCCCTCTGGCGGCTGCGTGGGGTGTTATGGGCGGCCTGCATTCTGTAGGAGGTGACCCGATTCCCAGCTACCCGGGGTTTAGACAGTACAGCTTGAACCTCACCTAATAAAAACTGACAAAGTATGCCATTTCGGGAGTGTAGACTCGTTCCATCGCTGCCCCTCCCAGGGTCACCACGTATACTTTTTGTCCTCATGCCTGTCACTTCATGGCCCAAGGTGACAGTCATCACAGAGGCATCACATGTTTATACCGTGATCGCCAACAGGAAGAAAGAGGCAGGCATAAAAGGACATCCGCTTTTGAGAATAAATGTCTGGTTTCCTTTTACAACAAAGGAAAGGTTTCTCAGAGGCTCCTGAGCAAGTTCTTAAACTCCCAACGTGCCACTCCTGGCTTCAGGAGGCTGGGGAAGTGAATTACGGTGCAAAGGACCAGGACTGCCATCATCCACCAGGGCGGGCACTTGGTGTCCCCCCAAAAAATCAGGGTTCATGTAGGTGGGAAGTGGAAGGGGAGTCAGGAGGGGTGGCTTCAACAGGCCTGTCACAGAGAGAAACGGGGGGCCAGTGAAAGGTGTCCAACAGAAGCCCAAAAGCTGGTGTGCTTTGCACATGGAAGGCCATGCACAGTGGCCGCACTGCTGAGGTGCGGCCGTGAGATGTGAAAGGAGGAAGTAGAGGCTCTCAGTTCTGGACTTAAGCAACTGTGGGCTGCTGATCTTTACTGAGATGGGGAGAGCTTGTCGGTCACAGGGTAGATGTTAAGAACTACGTATCTGACACACAATTGGAGATGTCGAGTAGGCAGCTGGCTATCACAAGGGATACTCCAATGACAGGCCACAGCAGGAGGGACGAATCTGGAGCTGTGCTGCACATTAATGCTTGCCCTCCCAGCCTGCCTGCCCTCCCCGCTGTGTTCTGTCCATGTGCAGAGTGCACATATCAGCTGGCTCCCGTGACCTCTGGCTCCTGATTGCGCCCGGCTGATGGGGAGCACAGCTGGCCCGGGAGGAAGAAGAGGGAGTTCGTCCGCTGGCTCCTTCCGGCAGGGTCAGTGGGGTAAGCTATAACACTCGAGTGAAGGTCCCAGCTCCTGTCGGGCCCCCTCTGCAACCTCATTTTTTCTCTTGAGGCTCCAGTTACTACTTCATGCTATTTCTGAGGCTGAGCAGTGCCTGGGGGTCTTTACTCCTCTCCCTCCAGTTTTGCTACACCCTGCACAAATCACAGTAGACAGTCCCTTCATTGTGCCACCCTGCCAAACAGCAGCTTGAATCCCAGATCACCACTACCCATGGAGTAAGGGCAGACAAAGAGAACATGAACCTCGGGCGCGCCACAGGGTCAAGTAGATGAAAAGGACATGGAGAAGGAGCAGCCTGCACTGGGGAGAGGAAGGATCGGGACGCGGTGTCCAGGACCCTGAGACGAGGGTGTGTGGAAAGAGAGGTCATGGCCATCTGCAAAAACTGCCTCAAGATCCAGGGAGATGATGGCCAACATTCAACCTTTTGCAAAGGAACAAAGATGAGCCTCTTACCTTGACAAGCAGTTTCTAGAAAGGAGAGGTAAACAGCCTTTTGGTGGGTACAAGAGGATGACTAATGAGGCTGTGCATACAGCAGGTGCACAGTGTGATGGAGAGTGCATTCAGCAGGTGCTCTGTGATGGGTGAGGGGTGCATACAGCAGATGCACGTGTGACAAATGAAGAGTGCATACAGCAGGTGCACACGTGATGGGTGAGGAGTGCATACAGCAGGTGCACATATGATAGGTGAAGAGTGCACACAGTAGGTGCACATATGATAGATGAGGAGTGCACACAGCAGGTGCTCATGTGAC